CCTGGTTATTCTGCTTCTGAACTGTGCAAAACTAGATTTCCTGGCACTTGTTCACAGGCATATTGCCCGACCACTCTAACCTTTGCAAACAGAAAGCTGCAGAATAGGGAACCTTATTTTCCTTGAACAGATGGATGTAAACATGATCTGAATGGTAGAACAAAGCCTAAGACCTGGCCCTTCACTGATGGAAAATACATCACCACAAATCAACCACAACAAATGACATCATGAAGACTGATTTAGCCAAGGGAACAGCAAAAATTCAGTTACGATATTTTATCTGTGTATATTCTCTAGTAGATAACAATTGCATCCTCTATAAAAGGTGGTTATTCTGAGAAATACAAATGTTTTTTTGTGAAAATGGGAAAGGACAAATTTGCACTTTGCATTGAACAGGGTTTACACGTTGGCTGCAGACTGCTTCTCCCCATCAGCTTGTGGTCAAAGTGTTATTTCTGTTTCATTTCACACTTACTGCTATAGCATTTTAAGTGTCCTTATCAATTCCTCTCCATTTTGCAAGAAGAGACTAAAACAAAGCAGGTCTAAGTGCAATCAAGGACAATAAACCAAGTAGAAACATCTTGCAAAAGTATGCACAACTGGAAAATACTGGGAAACTCAAAAAAAGTTATTATAAGGAAAAAAAAAATCAGATTTCTTTCATCCTGGAAAATAAAAGGGGACAGAGAAATTTAAGCTGAGGATTAAAATGAGATTAAGAACTTTTATGGAGTTCTCGTATACCTGGACCTCTTGCAAAAGTTAAAAAAAAAATAAAAATATTGCTTTAATGTCTTGTACAGCACTTATTAAAACCACTGATGCTGTAAGTATACTTTAAAGACCTGCAAACAACACAGGAGTCCAACACAGCAACACAGAACAGTGCATCTGATCAAAATGTATTGAAAGCTAAGTGATATTAGGAAGGATGTCCTAGTCTATAAGGCAATAACTGATTACCTTTAAAAGTATTTTATGATGATATTGCAAAAGACTACCTGTCTCTGTTGTGATCTCAGAAAACATATGAAGCAAATGGCATAAAAGGAAGCAATTGATGATAGTTACTCAGTGAGGGGGAGCTGGACTGGGAGCATTGGCTTGGCCTCCCACAAAAGCTTATTTTCAAAACTATGGCAAATAGTATCATCCTCTGCAATTAGAAAACTCTTTCACTTGAGGAAATTGATACCACTGCGCATTGGCATGTACAAGCCTGTGCTGCTGCTCTCAGCTAGCTAGAATCAAGCCAGTAGCAGAGAATAAATTGTGTCCTTCAGTTATGTGCAGCTCTGAGCCCCATCAAATAAAACTTCCTGAAAGCTGGATCTTTTGGCTGCATCAACTCTGTGGATTTGGGTTCAGGGCTGGACCGAATCTGGCTGGTAGCAAGTGAAGATTAAACAAATGTATGCTTGCAAAGACATATCTATGAAAATGCTATTTGTGAAATCATGGCTCAATGAAACAGGATTCTTGGACCAGCAAATGGGAGAATCTTCACATTTTATTTTTTTTGCTTCATTTGTGATAACGTCACTGCAGAATTATACAGTCTTGTCTTATGAAAAAGTGTTTTAGTCACAGACATCTCAAGTGGAAGGAAATACGACAGCATGGTACAATTGCCATCTGTGAGCTCAGGGGCCACAGTGCCCTGGCCTTATTGCAGAAGGCCAAGGAGTTTGCAGTAGTTTTTCTGCTGCATTCAATTCTGGCTGGCTAAATATCAGCATATTTCAAATAAAGCTGTATATTAAAAAAAAGTTTAAACTTCTGAAACTTTTTCAGTACTGCTTAAATCAAGCCTTTTATTTTCAGGGCTACAAAAGAACCTTTGTATATTTTCGCCTCCAGCATTTTTTCTTTAATCTTTAACCTTTAAAGAGCAAAAGACTGACTTTCTGGAATGAGACCAAAAAATTTAAAAAAAGACCTCTTGTTAAAAGTAGATAAATATCCCCAAAAGACCAAGAAATATATATTTGAAAGTCGTTCCAGATTCAGTAGCCACATGCTTTTCAAAACCAATTAAATGCTTTGTACAACCCATTAAATAAAGCTTCCTCTGCTGGTTTTGTACTGAATAATTTGTACTGGAAAATAGCTTTATAATACAGCATCAAGCCTGAAAATATACTGAATCAACATTTTGTAATGTGGTCACAAATGAATAACACAATGTAATAGGCAAAACTTTTGGAAATACAATAGCAGATACCAGGAATATGTGCCCCACTCGACTGACAGTTATCAGGATAAAACTATTTTGTTCAAAGTTTGGAAATTAGTCCTCTCATTGGCACAATTCTCAGCATGTTGCAGTTTCTCACAGAAGGGAGAAAAAGCTTTAGAAATATGCAGTCACGTACAGAAAATCTCGTGAGATCAGCTGCTAGACTTGCACAGATGTACAGAGGCTGAGCAAATATAGCAGCTTGATGGAACTGAAACAACTCCTAGAAAATGTTTCAGCTTGTCCCAAGTGATCTCCAGTCCACCTTTTGGACGTATTTCTTCCATCAACACTTAACTCCATTCAAGTCCCTGCAATCTTTGTGTTCCCCTCTAGGCCCATCCTTCTTTGCTATCAAAGACCATTTCCTCCTGAACATCCCACTATAGCTTTTCTTTCCTACCATCTAGCTTTATCTATAAGCCCCGAGGTCCCTTTATGTCCTACCCTTATTTTTGACGATAGAAGATATTTATAGTCATCTATAATTAACTCTGATTTCACACAGAAAGGATCACCAAAATGAATGTGTAAGTTATTTTTTGAAAAAAAAAAAAAACAAACAGAAGCTTAAAAAGGAGGAAGGGATTAATTTAATGCAAAAAGTGAATAAACAAGGACTCTTTAAGCTAAAGAAAAACGTGTACTTCACAACACTCTCCAAAACTCATCATGGACCTGTATGTTTTCCTCTGCACAAAATTCCTCTAGGTTGATATGAAGAGTCAAGTATGATGTTTCAGGTAGTTTTCTACAAGTTTTGGATTTGCTCAGTTACGCTGAATCCCTGTTTTGCAGGCTGATGACCTGCTCCTGTAAGCTTTCTACTGTGTAGCCTTGTTGAAACCAGCATGGTAAGCCAGGCACAGCTATTGCTGTGGGAAACACAAATTAAAATCCTTAGCAAGCCCCAAAGTCAATTCTTCCATAGTGATTTTTCATTCGACTTCACATTACTAACTGGACTGCTTTTCCTACACTAACTAGCATCCTTTATGTATTTCCAACTAATTTTGTTGCTCTTAGGCTAAAAGAAAGGCCAAGTAGATCCAGTAAGAATCTTATGGTTGCTTTTAAACAATTATGATGCTAATTGAGAATTCAAGGTGTTATCATTCTTACAATATGAAATAAATCCTAAATATTTCATAGCATTCTTTTCAAATTTCCTAGGAAATTAAATTCTGTAACACTTAATGGGAGGAAGCAAAGCCAATCTTTTTTTCATTCATTCTTAAGCAAGTAGCTTCCATACCTTTTCTAGCCTATGTAATCACAGAAATCACTTCACTTCAAACAAGAGTTCCTTCTACATTATGCCTATGATTCAATCCAAATATATAGCTGGATTGTGCAATAGGTAGCACAACTGGTTAAGAAAGTCAACCAACACTACCTGGTTAAAAAAAATGGTACGATCATCCTTAAATAGTGCCACTCTATTACGGTTAACAACAGTTAACTTAAATGCATCTTTGAATCAGAGATGTATTCTACAATAACAGAGTTGAAGCTCATGATAAAAACATGTGAAAGCTTGTAGAAATACATCAGATATTTCGAGGCGGAGCTGTCAGTGTAATAGGTGTTCAACAGTACGTGTCACGCCTATTCTCCATCCAAAGGAGGTTTATTTTGAGAAAATGTAGACTAGTGACTTTTGTCA